GATTATATTTATAAAACACTATGTATGGGAATGATCATAGGAAACTCAATGTGAATGAAACACAATGCACATGAATGAAACACAGTGTGTATGAATTTTGTATGCACACCAATATGTTAAAAGAAAAAAATCAACCAGAAAAGGAGCTCTGGTGGCCTAGTGGTAAGAAGCTACACTGCAATCCCAGAGGTACGTGGTTCAAATCCACCAGATGTTCTGCTGGAGAAGGAGGGGCAATCTCCTCCTGTACCAGTCATATCCGATCTGACGATAAACACACACAAAAAAAGTTAAAAGAAAATTTAAAAAAATCAACCAGAGAGATATTCACAGTCAGTTTTATAAGCAATTTTCCTCCCTTAAAGTGTTACCCTGGATAAAGCGGTTCCATTGTGGGAAGAATCCTCTGTGAAGATTTGCCATAGCCAAGAGCAGAGAGAAAAGAGTAAATCATTTGGAGACATTGCAAAGAGAGTTTGTTTCTTTGCTTAATAATCAGAAAAAGAATCATCTACTGGTAGTTAAAACATGGCACCAAACGTATATGGACAAGCATGCAGAAAAAATGAATTGTGGCTTAACTGAGACAAGAAAAAAAACTCTGGCATAAGATGAAAGCAAATGCTTCAGAGGAGACAACTACTGCTGATAATAACACTAGAGTCTCCCTCTTGAGAGTCTTCGTAGAGAGAGCATCGTGAAGAAAAATAAACAAGTGCCTCAACAACATCTTTATTATTCACACAAAGTGATCAAAGCTAATTTCAAGTAAAAGACTAAGCAGAAAAATCTAAAACATGCAAAGTATACAAAGTATACAACTAAAACTGTGGAAAGCCTTGGTATAAAAACTATGAGAAAACATTTGAAAAAGGGCATATAGCCTTTCTTCTGAGAAAATAAGCATGTCTGAAATCAGCAGTGGTTAAAAGAAAGCTGGAGCAGGGACATAGAGAAATGGGGACAGTTGTAATGTGTTTACACAGAGGATGTAAGAAAAAGGAAGAGATGCAACTGTAACATCAGTGTTTTCTCTGAAAATGTAGGCAACATTTAAAACACCTGAAAAGTTGTAAATAAAGGGTAAGTAACATCTTATAGCTTTAAAACTTTTTGACACATTTACTGGAGTTATTCACCAGGTGTTCCTTGACTGAGATACAAACTTCTGGTTGTTACAGCTGTGAGTCAACTATGAACAGCAAATCTGAACCTTGTCCTATCTACACTATCCTCACAATTTCCTTCAAGCCCAAGCTGACTGTTAAATCACTGTGTCAATCCATCTGTTGAGGGTCTTTTTCCTCGGCTGACCTGTCCCACCTTGATGTCTTTTTCCAAGGACTGCCCTTCCCGACAACAAGAAGTCCACAGTGTGTGAGATAAAGTTTTACCATTCTTGCCTTTAAGGATCACAGTGGTTGCACTTTCCACCAAGACAGATTTGTTTGTTATTTTGGCAGTCTATGGGATATTCAATAATCTTTGTCAACACCACAATTAAGAGGCATTGAGTGTGAGTGTGTGTGGGGGAACTGTGTGGGGGTGGGGGTGGGGGGGGTCCTCTTTGTTCACTACTCAACTTTCAGATGCACGGGAAGCAAATGAAAATTCCATGGCTTCAATCAGTTACACTTTAATGTTCCAATTGATAGCCTTGCTCCGTAGCACTTAAAGGAGTTCCTTGACAGCCAATTTTCCCGGTGCAACATGCCTTCTGAATTCCTGATTGCTATTTTAATGATTGTTTATTGGAGATTCAATAATGAAATAATTGACAACTGCAATCTTTTCTCCATTTATTATGCTGCTGCTTAATGGTCCAATTGTTAAAATTTGTGTTTTCTTTATGTTGAGGTGTAAACCATACTGAAAGCTACGGTCTTTGATCTTCTTCCCCTAGTATTTCAAGTCCTCTTCACTTTGAATAAGGAAGGTTGTGTCACCTGCATGTTGTTGTGTTATGTGCCATCGAGTCGTTTGCGACTCATAGCGACCCTATGTACAAACAGCCCTAAACCCTGCTCTAGCCTGTGTCAATGGCACTGCCTCTGACACACCCATCCCGATTAACCCAGTCACTGAATCAATCCACCTCATAGAGGGTCTTCCCCTCCTGCGCTGTCCCTTTATCCTCCCAAGCATGATGTCCCTCTCCAAGGACCTGTCCCTCCTTACAACATGTCCAAAGTATACGTCAGACAAAGCCCCAGAATCCTTGCTTCCAAGGAGTAGCCCGGTTTAACCCTTTCCAGAATGAATCTGTTTGTTTTCCTAGCAGTCCATGGATACCCTCAATACTCTTCTCCAGCACCACAGCTCAAAGGCATCAATTCTCCTTCTATCCTCCCTAGTCATTGTCCAACTCTCTGATGCATAACAAGTGATTGCAAAGACCATGGCCTGTATCAGACACACCTTAGTCTCCAGAGACACACCATTGCTCTTGAGTACTTTAGAGAGGTCCCTAACAGCAGACTTTCCCATTGCAATACGTTGTGGGTTTTTTTGTTTGTTTCTTTGTTTTTATTTCCTGGCTGCTGGTGCCAAGAGTGTTGACCGTGGAGCCAAGCAAACTGAAGCTGTGAATAATCTCAATCTCTTCGCCATCCATCCTGATGCTGCCAATTGGTCCAGTGGTGGGAATCTTTTGTCTTCCTGACATTGAGCTTCAGTCCATACTGAAGGTTGCAGTCCTTGACCCTCTGCAGCAAGCATTTCAGGTCCTCTTCAGTTTCAGCAAGCAGGTTTGTGTCATCTACATAACACAGATGTTAATAGTTCTTCCACCAATCCTGACGCCACACTTCTCCTCATAGAGTCCAGCCTCTCGGATAATCTGCTCTGCATACAGGTTAAAAAGGTATGAAGATAGGACACATCCCTGGCATACACCCTTCCCAATTCTGAACCATGCAGTGTTTCCTTGCTCTGTTCTGACGACTGCCTCTTGGTCTAAGTATAGGTTTAGCAATAGCAGGATTAAATGTTCTGGGATTCCCATTCTTCTCAGAGTCAGCCACAGTTTGTTATGATCCACACAGTCAAGCACCTCTGCACAATCAATGAAACACAGATATACATTCTTCTGGTATTCTCTGCTTTCA